CGTTAGGGAGTTTACATTTGATTTTAAGGCCATTGGCGGTGTTAAGCATAGAAATGAGACAATAAATTTTTTGTGAAAAATTAATAATAATAAAGATGATATGGCTGTGGGTGGGGAACGGCTTGGATTGGTGGAAGATTATGATGGTCTAGATCAATAATGAGGTTAACTTGGGTGATGCTGGTGGATATATTAAACACTTACTTTAATGGAATGAGATTTATTTAAATGAGCTAACAGTGTTTTCTGACGGATTGGATATGAATCAAGGAAGGAAGAAATTTTTTATTGGAAGGAATCAAGGTTACTCCTAGTTTTTGGTCTTAAGTAACTGGGCCCTGTATGGAGCCATTTTCTCAGATTTATTTATTAAGAGCATATTGGGCCATGCACAGTCACTCATGCCTGTAATCCCAGCACTTTGGGAGGCTGAGGGAGGAGGATCACTTTAGCCTAGGAGTTTGAGACCAGCCTGGGCAACATTGTGAGGCCTTGTCTCTACTTAAAAAAGAAACAAAAACAAAAACAAAAAAACAAATTAGCTAGATGTGGTGGCACAGGCCTATAGTCCTAGATACTCAGGAGGCTGTAGTGGGAAGATCCCTTGAGCCCTGCAGTCAGCCATGATTGTGCAACTGCATTCCAGCCTGGGTGACAGAGCCAGACTCTGTCTCAAAAAAATAATAAAAAAAATGTGTGTATTGAACCTTCAGTACATGATGGGTCTAGTTCTGAACTTTGATCATGTAGCTGGGAGCTAAGCGTGCACAGTCCTGACCCTATTGAGTTTTTGTTTTTGATGGGGAGATAGACACTTAAATACATAAAATATGTAGCAAATTGGGTGGTGGTAAGAGCAGTGAAGACAAACCAGAGAAAGAATGTAGAGAAATGAAGGTGGTGGCAATTTTTTTAATGCGGCTTTAAGTAAAGATTTTATTGTGAAGATGACATTTGAGCAAAGACTGTAGGCTCTGACAGAGTGAGGTGGGGAAGGAAGAGCTCTTATTCTGATGTTATTGAAATTGTCCCTTAGGTGCAGGATGGGGCCTGAAGCTAGGATCTGGCTGTCCTGAGGGATAGTGACTTGTCATTAGAAAATTCATCTTCAGCCTGTAAATAAGGGGCATGTAAATAAGTTTCTGAGGTTTACCCTTTATCTACGGAATAAAGCAAATTTGCAGGCATTTTTTCTGATGAACCATGAAAGCTTTAGTCAGAATTTGAACTAGTGGCTCCAGGGACTTGCAATATCATTAAGTCAGATTTAAGTCTCCTTAAGCCAGATGCTTAATCCATTAAGTTGAGTCTTTAGTTTGCTAAGCTACCTTTTTGTGCCTGCTTAGGGAAATTATGTCTGTTTGCTCCCAAAGGTTTTCCTGAAGGCAAAGCCAAATGGAAGTCAGATGCCATTACAACCTGCTGCAGAAAGAGCATGGATTCTGTGCTTCTGGTGGCATTTAGTGTGGTGAAGTCTTGATGGGAGTGGTGGTTGAGTTAGATTTGGTGCATGTTGTTGTTACATGCATATTATATTGTAGAGCTATATTGTCCATTGGATATGGATTGGAGGGAAGAGGAAGAAACAAGAATACTTTTAGTTTTTGGTCTTCGGAAATCATTATTCAACCAGCATACAAACTCTTCTCCCCCAAGACTTTAGGCATTTTGTAATTAATTTTTTTGACTAATAGGTGGTGTTTATGAATTTGTATGGTAGTACAGAGAAGTATCAGAAACTCAGGCCCTTTCAGGGGATCCTGCGATTAACATATGTGAATGAAGCAGTCAGCTATATTAAAATATATCCATTGTCTTTTAAGCACAGTATCATCATTTTTAATCACATCACCTTAAGCACAGTGCCCTCTTCCCGTCAATGAAAGCTTGCTTGTCAATTTTGGGCTACAAACCCTAAGTTTCTGGCTTTAATTCCTCACACTTTTGATTCTTTATTAACTGTGTAACCTTGAGCTATCCTAAGTCCTAATTTCTTCATCTGTGAAGAAGAGATGATAATTTCTTTCTCACAGTGTCATTGCATAGATTCAATGAGATGGGGTTTGCCAAATGCTTAGCACAGGACCTGGCCAGTGATAGGAACTTGATAAATGGTAAACTTTTATTGTTTTCATCAATGTTCATCTTGATTATTGTATTACATTTATATTTTAAAATTTTCTATATATTATGATTTTTTGATATCTTAGAAAACCTTTCTGTTTAGGGAGAGACTACCTGCCCAGGGCCAGCCAATTCTTAGAGATAGCAATTCTCAGCCAGGAACATATCTTTGATAGGTGAATGTGTCAATTCAGATGGTTTGTACATCCTGGGAGGCAATATTCTTCTCCTTAGTCATGCCAGGGACATGTACTAACAACTAGGGATGACCCTTATACCTTAGGAACCACTAATATTACTCAAACCAGCTGATCCAAAGCTTTATGCTACCCTGCCCTGCCTTTCCCACAGAAAACCCCATCAAGGCTCTGTTGGCTTCCCCCAAGCTCCCTCTTCTCTTCTGTTCCCCTAGTGTCTTTCCCATGTGGTTCGTCAAGGTGTGTGATACCTCCTGTTTCTAGGACCTGTGAATATAGTGAAATTTGTTTTCCTGAGCCTCTCCTGTCTTCCCGCCTGTGGCTGCACCTGACCAACCATCATATAAAACAGTACAAAACAACAATTCACTAAGTTGTAAAGGAAAAATCTGTACTTCAATGAGACTCATTCATTACCCAGAGTACACCCTTTTGGGTTATCTGATTCTGATTCTGTGGGAGCTATTACACAATTCTATAAGTTGTGGATAACTGTTAGAAATGTAAAATAATTCTTGTCTATAGATATGTAAATCTCCTCTTCTTTCACCAACAAAAGCTAGTTTTGTTACTGATTTGAATATTCATTTTAAAACTACTCCATACGAATGTGTGCTTTTTTGATTTCTCCATGGATCTGGGTTATAACATTTGCCTGGTTTCCTTATTTAATCAATGAATATTGGATAAAATCTTTAATGTGGGTTAATATTATATCTGTATGAGATTCATAATTTTACCTGGTTTTGAAATTTTTAATGGTTCAGAATACCATTCAAAGGACTGTGAATAAGGAAAAAGGACTTAAAAGACCTGATGGAGATGTAGATATGCTTAGATATGTAAAGTGAAATTCCAGTAATAGGTTCTGTATGATTAAGTTCTAAAATGAATGGAAATAAAATGTGAGGTTAAGGAACAGCTCTGCTCTGGTGTCAATAGGGTGTATTTCACTAAGGAGGTTACTGGGTAGATTAACGTTCTTGGGATTTCTTTCTTACCTCGTTAATTCATGAAAGTAAATGAAGACCCTTGCCTCAAATGAGAACAGTTATTCAGAGCTTGCTATTTCAGCAAGGGAATCACTGTCATCACTTCTGTTGTGGCAGAAACTCAAAGGCAGGCAGAGAAATGGGTCAGGTGTCTAATGGAGTAAGGAGAAGACCCTGATCTAAATATGTTTGTAAAAGAACCTACTTGTAGGCAGCCTAATTGGTAGCTTACATGATTGGTTAGCGGTGCATGTTTGGCTTTCTCTGGTTGATCATAAGTTGAAAGCAGGGCTGAATATTGGGATGTTTTTGGGTTATTTATCAAGTCTTGGCCATTTTGGATTGATTACTGCAAGGGTTATTGTTTGGCTTCTTGGGCTGTTTGGTGCATACAAGTCTGACTTCCTGGACTGGTTACGATAGATAACAGGTTGGTTTCCTCAGCTGATTGTTGCTGGTTGTGGGTCAGAGTTGCATTTTGATAGTCTGGCCAGTATTCAGTTGTATATTCAGTCTCTTCACTTGAGAGTACTAAGTCAGTGAATAGAGGAAAAATATTTATTATTCATAGTATAATTCTTCCCATGATGAACCTATAATATTAGCGGCACTTTACTTGTTGAGAGCAAGTGTGTTTCTATGTCCCCAGCAATGGCTATATCTTACTAATCTTGCCATTCTTTGTCACAAAATGCCTAAAATATGTTGGGGGCACATAATATATTTATGGAGTAAATGAAGAAAATACATATATTAAATTCTCTGGTAGAAGAAAAATGCTTTACTAATTTGGACTCAATTGCCAGTGATAGAAACACAACTAAAAATGAATTAAGAGGGTAACTTGTGGGCACACAGTATTTTAAAAAACTCCAGGCTCAATTCTGTTTGAGGGCTTGCATCATTTCATGAAGCTTGACTTTGTCTCCCCTCTCTTCACAATTTTTTTCTACATCTCATCACTCTTGTTCACTCTAGGGTAATTTTATTATCAAGTATTATCTAGCTTGTGGCAGCAAGATACTTGCCTTGTCTCCAAAACTTTTAACTGCTATTGTTATTCTACTTGGGGCTGCATACATTTTTGTGGAAGGAAGAAGGTAAGTAATAAGAAAGAAAGAAGGGAAAATGAGATGGGAGGAGGCTGGGTGGAAAAAGAAAATATGTTAAATTTTCTAATAGATGCATCATACACAGGGTAGGTACATTTATGGAAAACAGTTCTAGAATTGAGGTTGCAAGTGAGTGCTAATGTGACCTTTTAAAAATTATTATTTTTCTTTTGTAAAGACTTGTACCTAGCTGGGCATGGTGGCGCAAGCCTGTAATCCCAGCTACTCAGGAGGGTGAGGCAGGAGAATTGCTTGAACCCAGGAGGCAGAGGTTG